TCAGAGTCACAGCTTAAACAGTCTGGTATTAGATGGTGGACTAAAGGCTAGTTTTCAGAGGTCAGAAGAGTCTTTATCCCTCATGACCTGAAGGATGATCCAGTGAAGGAATAGTTCATAGGGGTCAACAGTGTGGGTACTGTTAGAGCATTCTTTTAATATTTCTTTCCCCGATGTTATACAAAAGAAAAAAAAAGAATAGTATTCACATATAGTGTTGTGTTATTATTATTATTTTTATTTTCTTCTAATATGTAATAATAATAAGGATAATTTTTTTTTCATGCTAGTAAATTGCAGCTCATTTGGTGATTTACGAGGTTAATATCTTGCTCTTTTTAGGCAACTACAATGCATTGTTCCAGGACCCATTCAATATCATTCTACTACTCACTGTATGCCTTAGTTCTATGTTAATTAATCAGCAGCAAATTGCTCATCAACAGTCAACTCAGCCCGGTGCCTAATTGCTATTTTGTGAGCTACACCATACCGATGTATGAGTCTGCTTCCCAAAAATTAAAAATGCTATGAAGATGATCCATACTTTTCAAATTGCTAGTTCATTCTTATTCTATCAGGAATTATTTTTTCTTTACCGGCTCCTGGAAATTTGTGGCTATGTTTTAACCTGGCTTAGGTGTGTCACGCTGTTTAACAAAGGCCTGGCCATGGACATCTGCTTAAGTTAGTGCACAAAGAAATCTCCCTAGGAATTGCAAATATTATGAGGCAGCATCCAGCACGGCATCGTCTGTTGTCACTGATAAGAAAGGCAGTTCAGTAGAATTCTTGGGATGGAAAAGGTAGAAGAAAGAACATCGCTGCTCGCTATTAATAAATATTGCTCTGGAACTGCCGGCAGAGAAAAGAAAATCGGTCTTCCTGTGGTTAAACCTCTCAAGGCTCATTACTTCAGGAAACCGCTTTGTGTCCTGAAAACGAATTAGAGTTGATGGCCAAATGGCTAATGCATACCATTTTTTATGCCAGGTTATCAGGGTGAGCGTAAATTTCATTGGAAAATATTAGTAGTTTGGAAACTAGAGCATGTCCAAAAGCCAGTTTCAATATCTTGATCCAGAATTAACCAAAGAACCCACAGCTGAAGCGGTCCTAACCCCGGACCAACTCTGCATAGCATTGAAGTCGGGAAAGCAAATATGGTGCAGATAGTAGTTGATGAGTCAATATGATTTTAAAAGACAAATCTTTGTAGGGCATAGATGGATCAGCAAGACACTGGAAGTTTTAGTACATCATAAAATGACGGTTGATGCCAGCACTTTTTATGCTGGCGAAGGATAAGCAGAATAATATTTGTTAGGTAGCAGACTAGCAGCCAAGCTATGTCTCTGTCCTCCCCACCTATCCCTAACAAAAATCAACAGACAGAAAAGATAAACCAGCCTGTGGCCAACAGAACATGGACTCTGATTGACAAAGTCACACTAAGATCGACGGGGATTTTGCGGCCTCACTTCTGCTCTGTTTCTTTTCTTATATCCTTCTCTTTCTTAGTATCTAACCAACTGACCGATGCTACAATTCTTATCTTCTATCAATAGAGTAAGATTGGTATTTGTCCATTTGGAAGCTGATGTTTACAACTGAATCCAAAGTCCAAGCTTCACATTGTAATGAGTTGAACCCAAAGCTTTGTATCTGAATGAGGTTTTTGCATTTACTATTGAACCTTTTAGCCGAAAGTTGTTTCGTTTTTTCCCCTTAATTGGAAGAAAAGTGATTTGAGTTTCAGGACTCCTCTTAAAAGAACAAGTCCTAATAATTTCTTTACAAAAAGATAAGCCAACAAATTGAAATTGGGCTGATTCTGCTTGTAATGGTTATAAATGGGCCGAGATCCCTCTGCCCAATAGAACCCGATTCTTCGGCTATCGGCTTGTATCATTTTGTGTCGGATCAAACACTGCCTCGTGCTGCTCAACACTTCAATTCGTTTTACAGTTTACACATTCTATTTTCCAATTTTTTATTGAAAGAAAATAAAAATACTGTACTTATATCAATATAAAGCATGAGAATGATATTTACATAAGATTGCTTAATAAAACTGAAACATTATCTCTAAAAAGATTTTTGAAAAACTTCGTATTAATAAAATATTGAAAAGTCAAATTTATAAAAAAATTTAATAAATAGTTAAATTCGTAATATACATAAATGATATTACTTTATCAATCATCTTTTAAAAAATTTTTAATAATTAAAATTAAATCTGAATTAATATTGATTCATCTGTTTTCATTTGATTCATCTGTGTAGTAGTTTTATTGTTTACAACTTCAATCACTCTACGACGTCTATCATTCTAGATCATTGACAAGTTTCAATAAACATTTCATAATTCTACTTGATATACAAAATAATTTTTGAATTTAATGAAAAAACCCTATTTTCCATTCCCAACTTGCATTTCCTTCTTTTTTCTTTCTATCCAAAAACAAAAACATCCTTTTCTTTTATATAAAAGTCAAATTCACAGCTCAACACGTAACTATAGTGCATGCCTAGACTTCACATTACAGGACCACTAGGATAATGAAACCTTAAAGAACAATATGAACCTAGTCCTTAAAGGCTTATTTCCAAGAATTTTCAGAATTAATGTAAATGTGACATCTTTCCTTGCGTTTTATCACAAGTCGTAACAAAATCAAACAATGAAGGAGCGAAGGAAATTAAGGATCTTCCACATTCTTGACTAAACCTGAAAGTGATGATAGTCTCCGCCACTATTTCCTTTCAATTTTTATTTTTTATTATATATTTATATAAACTTTGAGATATATAAATGCAAGATATTTTATGATTATTTTTTAATTACTTTTTATGTAAAATTCTAAATTCGATTTTGGTCACTACACTAAAATCAAATTGTTTAATAATTTTTAAAATTTTGTTAAGAAAAATATAACACAAACACTATTTATTATATTACTTTTTTACTTAATTTTTTTATTTTTTGAAACTAATTTATTGGTTATTGTCCTTTTTGTACTATAAGATTATAGTACGTAAGATTCAACTTTCATAACACTTAATCTTATTTCATATGGTTTTCAAATCAATAGTACATGAAAGATTTAAAATTTACAAAATATTTGGCAATTTTTTTTTATTTGGAAAAGGGGAGATTGGAAAAAAAATTGAATAAAGAAATATACACATTTACCATTAACTTAAATACATGGACTTTGCTTTTCATTAGTAATATTTTTTCTTTTCAAAAGCAGTGTCACTGCTAATTAAATACATGATGTGCCTTACATTTTGCAAACATATATACTTTTCAAAAAATAAAAATAATTTTGCAAACATATATAATCAAAATAATAACCTAATAAATTTATAAAATTTTCATGATGTATCTAAATATTTGATTTAATGGTATGTACATGTATTTTCTTGTTTAAAAAATATTTAAATTTGAATTCTCTATTCAAAATTAATAAAAAATTACCATACTATATGATACGATAATAAATTCTTAACTTATTCTATTTAGATATAGACGTTTACTTGATGTACTCCTCAGCCTTCATTTCCGATTTTAAGACTTGAAAATTAATCATACTTGGTACGAACCCCAAAAAAAGAGAGGAGTCTATATGTAGCTTTCCCCTGGTAGGCACGCTTTCCACAAAGAGGACAGTAATTTCAACCTTATCCAGCTAGAGAGTGACCTTACGACCTTAACGATGTTTAGCCAAGAAAAAGTGCATTATTGTGGGCATGATTGACCAATTAGCAGCCCAATGTCCGAGCAAGTCATGGGAAGTTTCTTGGTTTACTTGCATCAAAAGTGAATCTCCCAAAAAGTATCCTTAAATATCTAAGCCATCCAATCCCAAACCTGGTTTCTTCTGTTATAAAAGCCC